ATAGCAGTATCATAGGGATTCACAACAAATCTATAGGGTTTTCTTTTTTGATTCTTTCTATAGTTGGGGCCATGTACTTGTATATATATATTTGTTACTTCTTGACATAATACACCATGAAATTGCTCAATCGTCTCTGCATCTTACATGGTCTCGAGGCTTTGAAAACTCGGTGTGACCGGAAGTTTTTTTCTTCAAGATGCTTAAGTGTTTTTAGACGATGCTTTTGCCGAGGATAACCTTTTAGCAGGTTTTGAATTTTTATAAAGTCCTTACTTTGATTACGAGCTTCGTACGTCTCTGAGTCATTTTTTGGGTGGCCGTAGCCTTTTATTTTGGGCACCGCCTAGGTTTGATGCTCCCGAGATTTAGTAGCTCGGTTTATCCAAACTTTTTCTTTCGATAGTCCCCGAGTAAGGGTAGCCCTTGGGCTCGATAGTCCTCGAATAGGATAGCCCGTGGGCTCTTAGGATCCTGGTTTTAAGAAGTAAGAAAATGCGTAATAGCAAGGCAGAACTTTCTTTCGTTTCAATGTGTACAGTACATGATAAAATTTAGTATCATGGCTAAGGTGGGCGTATGTGGGCAGGGTTCTTTCGAAATGTCCTTCCTTGCTAAGAACCTAACCCGACGGTGATGNTTGAGCGAGCTTTTATTTTGGGGCGTAAGCCCATGAAACCTCTCCAAAATAGCATTAAAGTTGCTAAACAAGACCTTAATTTATTACAAAAAAACGTGTCAGTTGTTAAATTCTGAAAAGTCAAAAAACTTAAAAATCAGAAGATTTTTATTCTTAGCCCTTTGTTCTTTCTCTTCATCTTTTACCGGTAAAAGGGAAAATGAAAATTTGCAAATGACAAAGCAGAATGCATCATCCTTCATCACTTGCTTTGGTTCGACGCTTCTGATTATAATTCTTTCTTCACTTTTCCTTCCTTTCAAGTTTTCTTGCTCTAGTTTATAAATTTTTACTCAGTTCCTTTTCAAAGTCGTTTTTTTATTATTATTTTTTTATTTTTTTATTTTTTATTTTATAAAATGTAAGTTGAAGCAATTCTGATTAGTTTTAGTTAACCACTGATTTTGAGTAGCGTTGTAAGATGAAGCAGTTCTGTATACATTTCAACTTATTTTGTATTCTCTTGAAGTTTTTATAATTGCATTGTAGTTTTACCTTCTTTTAATATCTATTTCTGTTACATTAATTTCTAAAATATTAAAATTAAAGATCCATGGGGCTTATGCCCAGTGCCTCGAGGCTTATGCCTCGCCCGCTATCAGGTAAAACACTTTGCATCACGTCCGCGCCTTTTAAACACTGGTCTTGATTGTGCAGCCAACTAAACAATGAAATGAAAGGTTGTCTTACCATCCCCAAATCAAAATCTTGTAGTCAAATAGGTATGTTAGATCAAGTTGCAACATATGGAGTAGTCGAATACCTTACGACAGAAAGTGCAGAATGTTTATTACTTGATGCCGAAATGCTTCATTTATGCACGTACTCTTGATTAGACTAGATTTTTTCTTTTATCCTTCTGTCATTTTGAAATTCATCTCTCTTCATAGTGGCCAAATTATGAAATTAGAGCATGTGATAAAAATTCTTAAAATTGCAGAATAACTTCTTTGGTACCAGAACATTTTTACGCTGCTCCTCCAAACTATAATGCTCTTGAAGGCACAGAAATCTCAATCGACAAAATGGAAAACCTGCAATTTGTTTTACTTGAAGCTCAGGCTGAATGAATCAAAATATTTATGCAAAATAAAAATATAAATACGGAGAAAATGTCAAGGTGAAAATGATCCAGAGATTCATTACACTGACTGTTGCAGCTTTCCTTTATGTGAACTTGTGAAGACCTTGATATCTGATGAAATTGCAATTGAATTTGAGCATTTAGTTATACAATATGATAAATAGGTAGCTCATTTGCTTTGCAGGGTATTTTGTTCCTGATGTTATAGTGGCAGCAATAATTGGACTGGTGACTAGTTGGTCCATTGGGCCTCTTTTGCCTGTTGTGAGCTACTGGTTAGCCAGGTCACCTATAATGCATTTTTTGCTACACAGCAGTGTTCTCGCTCTGGCCCTTTCATCACAATTCTTTCCATACAGTACTGACGCACCAAAAAGAGTTATATTCCAGCATACTATCAGGAGTGCAGGTATCAAAGAAGTAGCAATTCATTTTCCCTAATAAGAAGGAAAATAAAAAGGAAAAAAGAAGGGAAGAGATTAAAAAGTGAATTTTCCAGATTACAATTCGGTTCAAGTATATATTTCAGTTTTTGGCGCTTCTTAGATGCTATGAACCCCTCTGGACGAAAAGCTCTCTCCTTTCTGGAGTTACAGAACTAAGTGGGCAGAAGTTGTCAGAAGATATGCCCCATCGTTTCATGTGCTGCTTAATTTGTATTGCTTCCTAGTTGCTTCTATGAAGGGGAGGGAACAGTGAATCAAAAAGAAACTCATTGTTTTTTCTTTTCGGGTATATAGTGATCATTTATAACCAGTTGTCTGATATGATTAGGACAGAAGGAGATATACTCTCTCCTTTTAGATTTTGTCCAATTCTGGAAACTGACAAGGAGAGTACCGGCCCCCCTGTTTTACTTCCAACTCCTTCTCTTCCCCTTTTAATCCTAACCAAACATATTGTAAGATGGAACCCAATAGTACGAGTATGCAACTTAATTTTTTGAGTTTAATCTGTGATTGCGTACACTTCCAGATGAATTCCTTTGTATCTTCTTACTAATTACTAATAAGTTAATGCTGGCTTGACAGGTGCCAGTCAAATTATGGAAACTACCTATGATTTTGCTGTTGTTGACTCCAATTCTCTGCCTTTCGTTTTCAAACATGCCCCTGAAGTGGCCAATGCACTGCACATTAATACAGAATTATCCTTTGCTGCTGTCAAACAGTCTCACCAAGCTGATTGGATGGTAGCTACTTTGAAGCTTGGCTATGATTAGCCAAACATATTTTCATATGATATTTATGTGCTTTTTCCCCATAGGACATAGGCCTGTCTTCTTTTATAAAGGTCTTGAATTGGTTAGATTTGCTCCTACATATACCAGCTTGTATCCAGTCCTTGCTTCCCTTAAGTAGTAACATGCTCAGGCTGCATACTTTCTGTATGTACAGTTTTTGCAGCACTTCCTGTGCTGGATTATAAAATCACCTTATTGGTTCTCCCAAAAAAAAAGAGGGGAAAAAGGGAACTACTTTCATCCTGAATCCTATAGCTGTTGGTTTTGAAATCTTGTTTACTCGAGAACTATTACCATGTGACTGTTCTTGTTTTCGAAAGATGTTCTTAAGATTTGATGGGGGAGTAAACTGGGTTACAGCCGAGTTTCGTGATGAAGTGCAACTTTTCTAAAGCTTTGCTGTTGTATTGAAGTGGCGCTCTGATAATTTTTGTAAATTATGTCCTAGTGGGATTGTACTAGGTTTGTTGTCGTTGCTGTATGTCCTAGTGGTAATTCAAATAATATATTTTGCTTTCATGTAATAATCTTTTCCCTTTTGCAGGGGATATTTCCAATATCTTCGTTGTTTTCAAGATGCATGACGTTTCCTGCGCAAAGTTCGGATGTCTTGGTTGAATACAATCATTTCCCACATTTGGCGATTAACAAGCCACAAGAGAGTTTGAGTGGGGGTTCCCGCAGGATCTACTTGGAGTTTTCCCTTGGGTAAATTGGATAATTACAATTTATGTCTTTATTCATATTGGCATTTTCAAAAGTGAATCTTAAAAATGAGTTCAGGAGTATTAAATCCAAGGGATCCGATACATTTTTGAAATGTTAAATTAGTGGAGATCCATTTTCCTGGAGGTTACCAACTTTAGTGCTATGCCACTTTATGTGATCTCCTGGTGCACTGAATTTCTTCATGTTCTGATGTAGATATAAATTATCTGCTGGCTGTGTCAAAACTATTTAGTAGTCAGATTTTTAAAGAAGAACCCTCTGAATTATGCAGTTCATGGGATGATGTTTCTATTGATAGTTCATGGGATGATGTTTCTATTGACTGCTCAATATGATTGTCCGTCGTTTTGACAATATTTCTAAGGTTTAATAGAGTATAGGACTGTGGAACCATAGAAATGAGTTTTATGTTGTTTTGAACTCAGGAAATATTTTGCTCACATGAAGTTTTCAATCTTTTTTCCTTGAAATTGACACCAAAAATTTATCAGAATTCAGAACTGCTTACAGGATTAAAGTCTCTCTTCAACGGGGCTTTTTCAACAGTGAATCTTAAGATGAGTTCAGAGATTCATGGTCCTTGGTTAAATAGAATGTATTTATAGTGTATCAAAGATGACCATGACCTCTCACATCCGAGGACCCAAACACTTATTTTACCTGTTTTAAGTTAATGAATACAGGTTACTAGTATCTGTCATGGCACTTTATGTGATCTCATAGTGACCCGAATGTTCAATTCATGTTTTAATGTAGATTCATATTTTTTTTTTTGCTAAACATGTTGATGTAGATTATCCGCTAGCTGTATCAAATTGTAGTAATCTGATTACAGAAAGATCCCTCTGAAATATGCGGTTCATGTCAATGTGATGCTGTTATTTATTGCTGGATACGACTCTCCCAAGTTTGACAGGCATTTCTTAGGTTTAATAGAGTATAGCATGTGAAATCATAAAGTTGATGTTTACCTTGTTTGAACTCGGGAAATATTGGTCCTCGGATTATTTTCAATCTCCATTGCTCGAAATTGATGCCAAAAATCGATCATGAACTGCAAACAGGATAAAGTTGAACTTCATAACTCAGATATGATAAGGTTTCCTAGTATATTTTCTCCTAGTACTATTGTGTTAAAACTAGATTCTCTGTCCCTAGTAATTAATCAGCTGTTTCATAGTTTCTCTTGTCTGCTTTCAGTTCCTTGAAGGAAGTCTGGGTTGCAGTCCTTAATATTACTGGTTCATTATCCAGCTGGTCATTTGCAGATAACATTCTTCCAGGTAATCTATATGTTTTCAGCTTTCAGTATGGATCTTTTTCCCTATGGCAGCATTGTTAATCTCAGTGGACATGTTATACAGCTCCTGAGAAGACTGGTAATGGTCCTCCATCATATATATGTAGATTAAGTGGTGCAGGCGATAAAAACTGGACCTTTTGGTTGGAGGTATGACTTCATGGCAGATGCTTTATTTCAGTCAGTTGTATCAACTTATTCAAAATACATATGCTCGTATACTATTGTGTCTAATCTGCCTGCATAAACTATATGTTACTGTGAAAGCTTAGTACTGACAACACTTTGGTGGCTAGTTTTGATATCTTTCCAGAAGAAAAATTGTGTCCTTACCCAAAGAATAATTAGGCTTTGCCTTCAAGTCGCTTTTAAAGAATTTAAAATAAGCTTAAAGTGTTGGACCTATTGTGTTGATAATTTCATGTGTATCACGACCCAATTTGCCCAAGCCATGATGACACCTGACTTAACCCGCTAGGCGAACCAACGAAACTAAAAGCATGATCCAAAGGCGATAAATAGTAATAACAATTGTTACATAATGAACGTAGACATTCTGTTACTTAGTGAACGAAGACATACTCTTATGTAATGTACATAGCAGTATCATAGGGATTCACAACAAATCTATAGGGTTTTCTTTTTTGATTCTTTCTATAGTTGGGGCCATGTACTTGTATATATATATTTGTTACTTCTTGACATAATACACCATGAAATTGCTCAATCGTCTCTGCATCTTACATGGTCTCGAGGCTTTGAAAACTCGGTGTGACCGGAAGTTTTTTTCTTCAAGATGCTTAAGTGTTTTTAAGCGATGCTTTTGCCGAGGTATACCTTTTAGCAGGTTTTTGAATTTTTATAAGTCCTTACGTTT